GTCAACACTCCTCCCTCTGAAGGCCACTGACTTCTAGAAGTCAGATGGAACCTCCAGGATGCATAGCAGGGACTCTTATCCCTAAGCAAAGCAGGTCCGGAGGGACACCCCTGAAGGTAGGTGATTTTCTGCAGTGTCAAAACAGCCTGCTGGGAGGCAAGTCACATGAGTTAGAGTGAGGCCTCAGAGTGTTATCAAGATGACATTATTTTGATTTTTATCAAGGAGCTTATGAAAGCTCACAAAAGAATGGGATTTTTGGGTCCAGAAGCTCACTGAGGGACTGTGGGAATTCAATTCCGGAATACTCAGGCAGGAAGAATTCCAGGAAAATGCTGAGGGTGACACCAGGAGAGAGTGGTGCACTTGTCCTGAGTGAGCAGTCTCCCACCAGTCCATGGCCACAGGAGATTGCTGCCCGCCTCAGATACTGTGGACCTGGACTTGTCCTGGGTTGTGTGGCAGGCAGACGTCACCCATGTGTTGGCATGGGCTTGCAGAATGGCGAGCTGGCGGGGAGAGGGAGGTGTACAAGATGGACCTGTGGGCTGAGAGTTGTTGAGCCTGATGGCTGCAAGTGCAGCGAGAGAAGAAGGCAGCTCCTTGTAAAGCTAGACAGAGAGCTTCGGAAGGTGTGGTGCTGCTCGCTGCAGAGACCCTGTGGGACAAGTGGGGGCAGAGATTCTGGGTGGGGCACCAGGGAGAAACTCCTCAGTTGAAGAAGAGGTTGTAGGTCTGGAACAGGGAGTGCCTTGAAAACTGCCAGCTACTGTAGGCACTAAGAACACTTGTCATTGGCATAAGAACCCAAGAAGTCCACGCACGAGAAAACAAGAGGATGGAGACTTGGTGTGGGGGACTTGAGGATCTCAGGTGTCTGCTGACCCCTAAAGTGAGGATGCTTTGTGGGGCTATTTTGCCCTAAAACCAAAGACTCAAGCAGGCAAGCTTCAGGAGGACAGGTGATGCCTGCTAAGGTCTGCCCACACTGAGCCCAGTAAGAGGCTGTGTTTTGGGTTCTAAGCTGTTCGCCAAGTAGTCCTCACATGTGGAAAAGTGGTTTGGAACTCCCAGCCCAGAATAAGCCAAGTACTTCCCCAGGAGAGATGTCCTAGAAAAGAGGCAGGGAGCCAGGGAAGACCAGGGCACTGTCTAAGGAGGAGGGCCATCCTGGGGTGGCCAGGGGTGAGCAACAGAAGGTTGAAACCATGGCAGGGGTGGGAGATGGGAATGGGCACATTGAGCACTCATGATAGGGCGTAGACAAAAGCAGCCAGCCCCAGGGATCTGCAGGTGTCTGGGCAGTTAGCCTCTGTCATCTTCATTCTTTCTCTTATGGTTTTCCAAAGGAAAGGCCCAGCCATGAGGGGAATGTCATTTACACTGCTCTTCCCTTTCCCAGTTCTTGTAGCTTGAAACTTCTTAGCCTAGTAGGGAAGAGGGAGCATCTTTACCCCAGTGAGAGGCTGGCTGGCACAGTGAAGACTTCCCTCTTTACCCACCTGTGTTAATGGACTTGGAGGTGGAACTGGGCCAGGAGAGCCAGGATGCCTGTTCTGACCCCTCCACTCCTTATTCCCCATTTTGATTCTAGCTTTACTCCCATTCCTTTACAGTCTCAGATGACAGGACTTCCCACACTTTGGGAAGCTAACTGGTCAATGACCCACCCTGCTCATTGCCCATGAATCCCCCAGAAGTAGCAGGTAGCTTTTGGCATGGACAGGTGATATGGGGTCACAGGAGGAGAGTCTACAGAGGATGTGCCCAGGATGGATCCCTTGTCAACTCATCAGAAGAAAGTTCTGGAACTCTTCTGGGCAGCCTGCAGATCACTCAGGAATGTGGTTGTCATTCACATCGCTCACCAATGTCAGTTTCTGCTCTTCCCTCTGCAGCTGGAAATGGGAACTCCTTGGATCCCTTATGGGGTGGGGGTCACATGACTAGTTCTAATCAATGAGCAGAAATGATGGAATGTCTTGGCTGGGGCAGACTTGCCTGGTGATACCCTCCAGAGTTTCCTTCCTCCTACCGCATCGAGTCACAGTCATCTTCAGTCTGGGTCCCAGAGTGATCTCAAAGAGCAGAGCCCCCGCCAACCTTGGGTATGCATAGCAAGAGCAAGGAGTAAGCCTTTTTTATGTTTAAGTTACTGGGAATTTGGAGTTGCTTGTTACTGCAGCATAGCTTATCACATCCTGACAAGAAACTTTTTCTTTTCACATGGAGGGGTGATGATTAAATAAGAAAGGGCACTAAGGGACATTTCACCTATCAATACTTATTGTGGTTACTAGAGAACTACCCAAATGGAAGAGAAAAAATAGAAATGGGTGATCTACATAAAGAGGACGCAAATGATACCCATCTATGTGACTTGCTCTTCATACATGCCTGCTGGTCATAGCACTGCAACAAATCTGCATCATATGAGGTGAGTTCTGGAAGGTCAAGGCTGGGTTCCAGAAGAAGCAGGCTGGAGACTAAGGTCAGTGTGCAGGAGGCTTATTAAGGAGATGTCTTGGATTACCAGCTGTGCAGGGGAAGGAGGCAAAGAGGGAGTGGTGCAACCTCCAGGCAGTCTCTGTGGAAGTCCTGAGGCTCAGAGGCCCTCAGAGTCCTCCCTAGTTCAGGCAAGAGGGTCTTTGTGCAACCCCCCACCTTGGTCATTCACTGGATGTGTGCTCCAGGCCGGTGTGTGTGTGGGGGGGTCTTTGGGCCTGGGGACTGTATTCAACTGAAGAGACCGGGCAAGGGCCTGGGGCCAGGGCAGCTCTATGGCAAATGTAGACTATGCAGCAGATAGAGATTGACCAAACTTCCTCTCAGATGTGAAAATAACTGAGAACAATGACTTAGCACTCTGGGACTTAGCTGTGTCATTGGCAACTGAAGCTGCCCCAGGAAACTCATGAATGGGCTGGAACCCAGGGATTCCACGTGCACGTGTCCATAGGCTGCTGTGGCACTCTTCCTTTCCTCCTGTCTGATAGCTATTGACTGATCCTTAGTAAAATCCAATATTTGGAAAGTAGACCATGATGGAGATGACTCAAATCCAATGGACTAGTAGGTACAGACCCACAGCCAGGGTCTGACTGCTTCTCCAGTGGGAGTGGGTGATCCAACCAAAGCCCAAAAGGGATCTTCGGGGTCTGCCCCCAATTCAAGATAAGGTGTTCCTTGATTTTATATATATATATATATATATATATATATATATATATATATATAAAATACAGATATATAAAATACAGATATAGATAGATTTAGATATGCATACACAGGCTCCACTGACAATTCTCACTACTTCCCTTTCCAAAGGTGCATTACTATAGCAGTAGATGTTAATATTTCAAATCCTCCTGAAAAGATATTCATCAGGGCTCATTATATTTAATAAATTTATGTTTGTTTATATGAAAATTAAAATTATTTTTTAAAATCCTATTAAGTGCCCATTTAAAATTAAAGTGACCTAGCTCTTTTGGGTTTGTAGCTGCACAAATCAGACTGTGGCTGGGGTTAGTCAGCGAAGAGCAGATGTTGAGTGGCTGGCTCCCTTGTCTCTAGCAATGAAAAATACCATTGAGGGAGGCAGAGGTCCTGTGTGTGGCTGTGTAATCGTAGGCAGGATGTGGAATTTCTCTGAGCTTTGGTTTCTATCTTGGAAAAAAAAAAAAAAGACTGTGTTTGTGTGTGTATTGTACTGAGAATACCAAATGTGCCTTCCTGAATTACAAATTCTGTGATTAATTAAAATCAATCAGGATTGGCAAAGCTTTTCTTTTGCCAGTTACCACAGGGTTGGAAACAGTGAAGTCCACAACCCACCTTGCTTTGTGGCATATAAAGATTTGCAGTGACTGGCAGGGCAGCAGATCTGCTTTACACCAAACACTGAACATCTTCAACATCCAGAGCAGGAGACAGAGGAAGACAACCCCTAACACTCAGGGCCTGGCTTCTGAAGTCAGAGCCAAAGGCACAGCTGAAGCCATAGGGCAATAACCAGCCTTTCTTTCAGATTCTTGTGAAAAAAATCATCTCATTTCTTTGATATAATAGAGGTATCTCAAGATGAAAACAGGCAACATAAGAGTTGGCATCTCTCTTCCATTAGCACACAGATCTCACACTTGAACTTGCTCAGGGTTCCTTAGGTGGCTTGTTAAAGCATCGATGGCTTGGCCCTTGCCCAGAGTTCAGGGTTCTGCAGAGCCTGGGTGGGGCCCAAATTTTGCATCTCTAACAGGGCGATGTCAACCTTGCTGATCTGAGGCCCACACTTTGAGAACTGTATTTCTAGAACAATCTCAAGTATGACTCAAAAGTGGAGAGGAGAAAGAGCACGGCAAAGCAGTTTTTGAAATGTTTCTTAAAGGCTTTAAAATTATCTTTACATTAAGTTGCTTAAGGACTTTTACTCAACTGAAAACCCAAGGAATCTGAGGCTAATCTATAGCACTCACTATATATGATGGGAACCAAGAGTGAAGAAAGTCTTGGGATTATTAACTATTTATTCCCCAACAGTTTACCTGTAATGTCAAATATCTCAGGTTTAAAAACCAGCATCTGAAATGTTCTCATCTGCTACAGCTTACTAATAGCAAGATGAAATCCGTATGAATTTTAAAATGAGCCATTTCTGTAAAAGACACCTGGCTCAGAGGAATGTTTGATTTTACCACTTTGACACTTCTCTGGGTGTTTTGGAGAGCGCTGGAGCCAAGAGTGAGTAAAAAGATAATTCACAGAAAGCCCTGGCTGCCACCTGATATAGGGGAGGGTGAGTGTGGGTTGGGGGGCCAGTGAGACAGTGCACTGTCATTAGGGCAAGTGACAGTTTCTCTACCTTGCCTCTCAGGTAAGGGAGACAGAATGGGTCCCTCTCTGACTTTTCAGGAATTCCTTCCCTCAGGTTGCAGGGTAACATCTTGCATTTCTTGGATACCGTTCCCTAAAGCAAATAAAGAAAAAGCGACTTACGCATCTCTGGAGGAAAATGTCTGTATTAAAAGCCAGAAAACCACAGAAGTACAAGAAGAAACGCCCACCAGGCCACATCACTGGATAGATCGACTTGGAAAAGGTTCAGAAAGTTCATTTTCAACAGTAACAATAAATCAGTGTCAAATCCTTTCCCTGCCCTCCCACCCCCTTTTAAAATAAATTAAAAAACAACAAACTTCAAATACAGCTATGTTCAAATACAAAGAGCTTCTGTTACTACAGCGATAGCAATTTAATCTTTTTGTTTTATATTTTTTTACTAAAACTTTCATTTAAAACAGTTATTAAATATATAAAACAAATACACAGGATCTGGTCATTTTCTGCCATGAATAGGGGCACGTGGGCGCAGGGGGGACGAGGGGACGGGGGCAGGGGATGCAATCGAGGTGGGGAAAGGGCCCTTTTCCTCCCTTCTGCCTTCAGAGCCTGGTTCCCACCCTTCGCGGTCAAGGGCTCACATCTCTTTTGGGAAGAACAAGCACAACAACAGACTTGGATTTGCAAACTCGCTGGGGCCTCTCGTGTCCCCTCCCCGGAAAAGAACTAAGGACAACCACAGCACGAAGCACACCGGCCGAGTCTCCCGGCGAGAAAGGCACCCACGAGCGTGGGCGGACACGGGGCGGACACAGGGAGGTGGGGAGCGGGTCACTTGGTGGTCACCCCCGAGGTGACGGCGGCGGCGGCGGCGGCTGCGGCGGCAGCGGCGGCGGCGGCCGCGGTGGTCCCCGCGGGCACGGCGGCGGGGGCGGCCGCGGTGGCGCTGGCGGTGGTCCGGCGCTGCTCCATGCCGTTGGGCAGGAAGCCGGCGATGATGGGCACCGGCCAGATGAGGGCAGCCACGCTCCACACGACTATGACCAGGGTCATGAAGCAAGCCACCAGCGTGGACTCGATGGGCTTGCGGTTGAGCCGCCAGCCCGGCTCGCCCTGCAGCTCCTCCAAGCTGAAGTCCAGGCAGCAAAAATGCAGCGGCTCGCCCTGCAGCCACAGCGGCCCGGGTGGCTCGGCCGCGGGGTAGGCGGGCAGCGCCGTGGGTGCCCCGGTGGTGGCGGTGGCGGTGGCGGTGGCGCCGGCTGCGGCGGGCCGGAGGCGACCCGGGCGGCGGCCGCGCACCCAGCCGCAGCCCACGCAGAGGCGCAGGTCCTGCTGGGCGCCGCCGGCCGCCAGCCCCAGGTGCTCGATGAGCAGCGGCGGCCCGACGCGGTGGAAGGCGGCGGCGAAGAAGGCGCGGCCGTGCGCGTTGGTGGAGAAGAGCAGCAGGTCGCACTGGAAGCCCCGCGGGCGGCCCCAGCGCACGAGCAGCGAGCTCAGCATCTGCCGCTGCACGCTGATGTTGCACGGCGCGGCCGCCGGCGCCTCCTCGGGGCCGGGGCGCTCGGGGGACGCGGGGGCCGCCGAGGCCAGCAGCCGCGGGGCGGACGAAGCGTTCACGGTGGCGTTGGAGGGCGCCCCGAGGAGGCCCAGCGCGTCCGCCGCCCCGCCGTGGGCCCGAGGCAGCGGACAGGCGGCGGCCAGCAGCGCGGCGAGCAGGGGCAGCATGGCTTGCGGCGGGCGCCTACGCGCGCGGGGTCGGTGGAGGCGGCTGCATGGCGCGCGGGCGACGAACCGGCGAGCGGACGGCGGGCCGCGGGAGCCGGTGGCTGGGCGGAGGATGGGCGCGCCGGGCCCCCGGCAGCCCGCGGGGGCGGCGCGGAGGCGGTGGCGGCTGGCTGGGCTGGCTCGGCCGGCTCGGCGCGGGGATCTCTCCTGATTCGTTGCGCCCGGGCTTCCCCGCCGCCGCCGCCCCCGGCGCTGGGGCCCTCGGACAGCCCGGCTGCTGTGCGAGCAGGCGGTGCGCCCGGAGCAGGATTCCCCGGCTCGGCTCCGCCCCCCGTGCGCCCCGCCCCCCTCCGCCAGCCCGGGGATTCGGGAGAGGGCGGGGTTCCACGCGCCGGGGCGGGGCCGGGGCGGGGCCGGGGCGGGGCGCGGCCGGGGGCGGGTGGTGCTCCCAGGTGAGCGCGTGGGCTGGGCGCGAGTGGAGGCGGCGGACGTGCGCTGGCGTCCCGGAGCTCCGAAACGATTGCGTCCTCTCTGGAGGCACCCCTTTGTCACGCCCGAGGAGTCCCCCCAGCCTTGTTTCACAGGAAAAACAGGCCACCCCACCAGTCAGAAACAGAACTCGGAGTCGCGAGCTCTTTCTCCAACCGAGGTCGTTTAAAATCTCAAAAATCTGGACAGTTTGGTTTTTAATGCTCCTCCAACACAATGGACCCACTTGGCATCCTCCTCGCAGGAAGTGAACCTTGAGAAAAACTCCCCAAACTACGGAGTTCTGGGGGGGGGCGGTGAAGGCTGGTGGGAATGCGAGCCCTGCAGCTCCGCCGCTCTGAGGGGTCCCTAGCGAGTGTCCCACTTAGAAGTGACCGCTCTTCCTCGCAGGCCACCTCAGGTGGCGTGAGCACGCATTTGGGAAAATGTTTATTAGAATTTGCATATTGTAGGATCTCCCTGGGGCACGGCGGGAGGCTGCCAAGAGTAACATGTCAAGATAAAATTACGTTAAAAGTGATTAAAAATCAGTTTCCCAGTAGTTTGGCCTCTCACACTTAGAAACAAATGTCACCGGCCCCTCTTAAGGGAATGTCCCTGCGGTTTGAAGCCATTACACTCCACGAGTCTGTCTGGAAGGGAGGAAATAGGCAGCCAATGACCCGCTTATCTAAACCAGCTAAGTGTCCCGAAGGGTCTGCATAGGACACAACTATGGTCGTTGCCAGGCACCGGGGCTAAGCACATTTCTGGAAGCTTTTGTCCGTTGTTTTCCAACAATGAGTAAAAAAACAGTAAGAAAATTGTGTGTGTATGTGGGAAGCAGCGTCAAAATATAGGTCCTCCACTTATGCCAGCTGGGCAAGTCATTTTTCTGCCTTGGCCTGCTTTCCCCAGCTGATGGTGGGGTGGGTGGTCCCTGCCTTGCAGGGGTGATGCGATAGTGAATGCTTGAAACCCAGTGTCTGTCCCTTGGTCTTCAGGGGTGCTTTCCTGGTTATGTAGTCCCTAGCAGTCCCACCAAGTTGGCTGTCCGGAAGATCCTTGGTTTCTGCAGAAAGGGTGAATCTCCCCCAAGGAGGGGTACGACTCCCCTTTTGTTTATATCTTCATCACTTTGGGGCTTGAAAAAAGTGCTACCAGAGAGGACAAAGCGAGTTTCCATATTGTTATTGAAAATGGCTTCTTTCAGCTTTGCATCTCAGGAACAGAATCTACCACCTGATGTGGAAGAACTATTTTCACCTGAGCCTTGTGGCTGGTGAATGTCCAAAAATAGGGGTATCAGGTGATTCTGAGGGCTAAGAGAGGCCTGGTCTTCAAGGGGTGCATTTTAAGCCAGGCAGTGGCTGCAGATCTGGGGCTTTAACCAGAGGCAGCTTCCCTGAGGCTGCCTTGTCTGTCCATACAGAGAAGATAGAGGTTAGTTTGGAGAGCTAAGCAGCTCTCTGAAAAGCCACTGCCACTTTTAACCCTGTGTCCCAGCAACCTGCATCCTCCCCACCTTCTCAGCATGAGACAACAACCACCACTCACCCTCATTCAGGGCGTAATTATCAGATAATTGCACAGCTCCTAGCTGTCTTTTTGGGCAACTGGAATATGAGGACAGCAGATAACAACTATTTTCTGCCTTGTTTGCTATAGTCCCTAGCAGCAGGAAAAGTACCTAGCATAGGGCACAGGCTCAGTAAATACTTGTTGATTGAACAGGTTTGCCTTTTATATTAACAGTTCTGACCAGCTACCATTTGTTTAGTTCTTTCCATGGACCAGGTGTTTCATACACACTACAATACCATGGGTGTGATACCTGTTTCACCAAGAGAAAACTGGGGCTCAGAGATGGAAAATAACGCACCTGAAGTCTCCCTGTCCTGAAAGGCCAAGCCAGAATAGTAGGAGAGTCTTATTCATGATTTTTAAAGAAGTAGAGGCTTAGGTTGGGGACAGATGTTTCATGCCTGTAATCCTAGCTACTCAGGAGACAGAAATCAAGAAGATCTCTGAAGCTAGCTCCAGGGAAAACAGTTTACAAGACCCTATCTCACAACTACTCAAAACAAAAAAAGGGCTGGTGGAGTGGCTCAAATGGTAGAGCATCTGCCTAGCAAGTGTGAGGCACTGAGCTCAAGCTCCAGCACAAAAAAAAAAATAGAATAAAATAAAAAAAGAATTAGAGGGTTGGGAGGTGGAGGGTAGGAGGACATGGTCAGAGGCTGGCACAGGGAAAAGCTCGAGATCCTATCTGAAAAACAAACTAAAAAGAAGGAGAAGGAATAAAAGTACAGGGGCCATGGCTCAAGTGCAAGGCATGAGTTGGATCCCCAGTACTGCCAAAACAAAATGACAACAAAAACTAGAGGCATCTCATCTTATACAGATTGAGATCCAAAGCCTGTGCATAAGTTAAACAAGTATGGCACAATTCTATTTCATTTTGAGAAAATAAATTTTCATCTGAGTCTCTTCTTAGAGATGTATGTATTACATACATCTTTGCCAGACTTTGATCCATTTGAAATGTTATAACATATCAGATGACTCTTTTTTTGGCAGTACTGGGGTTTGAACACAGGGCCTCATACTTGGAGGCAGGTTCTGTACCACTTGAGCCACTCTGTCAGCCCTTTTTTGTGTTGGGCATTTTCAAGATAGAGTCTCTCAAATTATTTGCCTGAACTGGCTTAGAACTGAGATCCTCCTGATCTCTGCCTCCCAAGTAGCTAGGATTACAGGTGAGTGAATCCCTGGCAGCCAGCCAGAAGAGCTGACTTTTAAGGTACTTTTTCTTTACTAATATCCGACTTCCTGATAAATAAGGATATATGTATTATAAACCTAACAGCATTACACAAAAGTTGGAAAACAGAGACAATTCTAATCCCACTGACCTGATAGCTTTACTTTTCTGTATTCACATTATTTGTTCTTTTCTGCACTTTCATATTCTCTAAAATGTGCAAATACTACTTCTGCAAACATTTATATGTTCAAGTCCTGCTACCTTTCTCAACTATGACTGCTTTGTGCTCTGTTCTTCAGCTCACTAGGGACCTGGAGGACCAGTCAGGGGCAAGAGGTGCCTAATGGCAGTCATTGACTGCACAAGTCTGCCCACTGGTTAAGAACTCTGCCCAAACTATACGTTGAGATACGTTCATGGTTCCTGGCCACTTGTCTCATCCATCTTCTGCCACTTGCCCTTCCCTTTGTCTGCTTTGTTCCAGATACACTAGCTTCCTTGCTGGTCCATCTGGAGCCTTGAGTTCTAGACTCAAGACCTTTGCCTACACCATTTCTTCTGCCTGGGACACTGTTCTTTCTGACATCTGTCTGGGTTGCTTCCTTGCCTCCTTCAGATCTCTGCTCAGCTGTCAGCTGAAGGCTTTTCTGGCCATTGGCTGTCAAGAGCATTCATCCTGACATCCACATTGCTCCCCATCTCTCACACATTGGTCCACTACTTAGTGAAACTTACTGTTGACTGGCCTATTGCACGTTCTCTACTTTAGTGTCTCTCCCTGTATTTGAATGTCTGTTCCCTTAAGCAAGAATTTATCAGTTTTTTTCAATAAAACAGTATAGCTAGCCATCAGTGGCTCACATCTGTAATCCTAGTTATTCAGGAGGCAGAAATCAGAAGAATTGCAGTTCAAAGCCAGCTTGGGCAGACAGTTCTCACATGAGACCTTATTTCAAAAAAAAAAAAAAAAAAAACTAACAAAAAAACCATCACAAAAAAGGGCTGGTGGAGTGGCTTAAGTGGTAAGCATGCTTGCCTAGCAAGCGTTGAGGCCCAGTGCTGCCAAAGTAAATAATAAAACAGTACATGGCACCCACAGTAGAGGGTCAAGGAATAGTTGAGGAAGGAGTGAATGAATTCAATAGACAGGGCAAAGCCAGCAGACAGGGCGTGGGCCAGCAGCTTAGAGAATGGAGAGGGACAGAGCCCCTAAGAGCAGGTTAAAGGAAGAAAGGCAAATGAGACTCACTTCATTGCCCCAAATTCTGTAACTTTTATAAACTGAATGGAAAGCTTGGATGAATCTCTGCTTTGTCCATCAAACAGGGATGGCAAATTTGTCTGCATGGAATGTATTGTTAGAAAACAGTAATTGAGAACTTAAAGAAAATAATTAGTAATGATGCACAGTAATTTCTTTCTCTTCATTTCCTATGTCTCTCCCTGGTATTAGATAATTTTTTCTTATACTGCCTGTTGAAGTAATAACTTTTAAAAAATGATCTCTCTGGGTTATTTCAATTCCTTTCATCCAAGGACCTCAGAGTACCACAGTCATTTGTTAGTTCTCTCCTGTTATGTGGGTGGAACTAAGATATTACCATGTTGTAGACTGAGAAATAACCAAGGACCAAGAAAGGGCCATAAAAATAGGACAGAGAAGAAGAGGTTAGAAAGCAGTGGTTTAACCATATCAAAACCACTGGTGGAGACTGTGGTGTTTGTGCTGGGTGTGAGGCTGGGGAGATTTTTTATTAGGAGTGAGGGAAGATGCTTTGCATACCTGTCTTCCTGAGCTGTTGGCAGGTAGGGGAAGGAGGTCTGGAAACCACCAGGGTTTGGCTGATTAGACTTTGCCAGTCTCTTGCCTCTGCTTCTGTATAGCAACTGAGTGAGTCCCCAGTGTCCTAGCCAGATCTCCAGGGCCTGAACATCTATGCTCCCTGACCACTGTGATCAGAAGGGAGATTCACCCTACAGAATTCTGGCAGCAATTACAGTCTGCAAAATTCACTTAGTAACTAATCATGGACCCTTGGGTGAAGGCTACTGTTGCCAGCTTAAGTTGTTATTT